AAAGTGGGTCGAGGCTTGATGACCATGGGAAAATGTGGGTCCCATGGCCAAACAAGTTGAGAAGCACGGCTTTAAATCACAAGAACTTTCAATCACAAGAGTTGCAGAATACACATTAATGCTTGTACACTACCGTTCAGTAAGATTTAAAAAAATGTTTTTTAAAGTCTTTTATGATCACCTAGGCTACATTCACTTGAACAAAAATAGAAAATAACATTTTTTATATTTTAAACATTTCTTATTATAATCAATATTGAAAACAATATTCATCTTTAATGAATAGAAAGTTAAAAAGAACAGCAATTATTTGAAATATAAATCTTTTGTAGCATTATAAATGTCTTTACTGTCACTTTTGACAATTTTTGTGTCCTTGGTAAAATAAAGAAATTAATACTTTTTGTTTCACATTTAACCCGATAGCCTCGTGGGCAGCGCGTCGACATGTAGCGCCATTACGCTTCGGGCGTCCCGTGTTCGAGTCCCGGCTCGTGGACCTTTCCCGATCCCATCCCCCCTCTCTTTTGCTTCTGCAACGACTACTGGAATATCTTGAATGCTGATCCTATTGCCAAAAAACAAACAAAAACAAAAAACAAATAGTCAAACATTTAAACTTCCAAACCCATTTGCTTGTAAACTCTTTATGCTATAACCTTATATGACTTCTATAAATGCAATGTTGATTAAGTGTTAAACTAGAGGTAAGATATCATCACAGCTAGAATTGTCTTACGTTTTAAGGGACATAGTCACATTGGCGCTTGTTACTCTCAAGGAAAGCCTTTCTGCGCTAAGTATCAGGAAGAATGAAACCTGGAAGTGTTGAAAAAAACCTGAATTAGAAGGCTGACAAATTTGATTCTAGATTGAAAATGTACTTGATGGTCTGAATAAATTTTTTATTATTCTTCATACCTCCGAGTATCTTTTAAAGGGATTTCCAAGTTGGCAGTCGGCCTGCGTTTTATTTTCATTGGGGTTACACTGCACCTGAGCTTCCTGCACCGTGATAGAAACAAAAGGCATTTGAAAACACCACCTACGTATATGCAAAATCTGAAACAATGTACACAAAAAAATTTAATGAAAAAATGTACACTAAAACACTTAATTTAATGCAGTTCTTTCAATGAAATAAAATGTTTTGTCAGCTTCACTTTGCTCAGTCATTATTGAGTAAAATCGACAAATTGATAAATATATTGTTGGAGAAGTCTGCAACAATGACCAGCAAACAATACAGCAAGTGATATTCCATCAGCCTGTCTGTTTCGGATTATTAGACAGCAAAGAAACAGACAGGCTGATGGAAATGCTCATCAGCTTGTCCTGGATATCTCCCTAAAACACAATAAAATGTTTTCCATCATGAATTCTCACTTGTAATTCTTAAAACCAGCAAATCAGAGTGTGAGTTGATAGTACCAGCAGCCTGAGCTTGGTCTGGATACACTCTCGTTTGCCCTGGACAGACAGTTTCTGGTATCCCTGTGCAGCCTCAGAATTCACAAAGACCACTCGTGAAGGAAGACCCCTCTCTATCCGCACTGTATCAGCCTTTAGTGTGTACTTGATCCCTGAAGTAAGGCGACTATCAGTTGAGATTCAAATGCCACAAAAAGTTCAAAGAAATTGCTCTGACAAGATGTTTGCCAAGTTATATTATAACTAATCAAACACACCCATCTGGAATGACTCATAAAGATTGCTCTGGGACATTCATTATTGTTTTGATATTTAACCCTCTACCGCATGGTGTGGCCATATGGCAACATGGTCTTTGTGTTCATTTCCTTGCCACTGTCTCTTTAAGAGAACATTCTCGTTTTTTTTGTTGGAAAGAGAAGACCTTAGTTCACTAAAACACTTAATTTAATGCAGTTCTTTCAATGAAATAAAATGTTTTGTCAGCTTCACTTTGCTCAGTCATTATTGAGTAAAATCGACAAATTGATAAATATATTGTTGGAGAAGTCTGCAACAATGACCAGCAAACAATACAGCAAGTGATATTCCATCAGCCTGTCTGTTTCGGATTATTAGACAGCAAAGAAACAGACAGGCTGATGGAAATGCTCATCAGCTTGTCCTGGATATCTCCCTAAAACACAATAAAATGTTTTCCATCATGAATTCTCACTTGTAATTCTTAAAACCAGCAAATCAGAGTGTGAGTTGATAGTACCAGCAGCCTGAGCTTGGTCTGGATACACTCTTGTTTGACTTGGACAGACAGCTCCTGGGATCCCTGGGCAGCCTCAGAATTCACAAAGACCACTCGTGAAGGAAGACCCCTCTCTATCCGCACTGTATCAGCCTTTAGTGTGTACTTGATCCCTGAAGTAAGGCGACTATCAGTTGAGATTCAAATGCCACAAAAAGTTCAAAGAAATTGCTCTGACAAGATGTTTGCCAAGTTATATTATAACTAATCAAACACACCCATCTGGAATGACTCATAAAGATTGCTCTGGGACATTCATTATTGTTTTGATATTTAAGCATGCGGTATGGAGAACAAGGAATGGACTCACTCAGTTTGTGATTGTATGTAGGTGTCTGGACAGTGTAAGTGAAGCAGGACTGAGCTGTAATAAGGCTAAAAGAGTTTTCAAAATGCATAAAAAATTAAAAACAAAATAATCTAGATAGA